GGGTTTATGGTATGGCCTCCAACTTAGCTACTAGCAATGGCCTCCAATCTAATAGGAATGGCATCCCCAGACTCTACTTGCAACGTGTTTCTTGTGGATTTCCTCTTGGATAGTAGCCTCTTCAAAAGGCTATGGGCTATTGAGGCTATTGGCAATTGGTGGCTTAATCCCCAGACTAATAGCAGTTTTGATTACTCTATGACTCTATGAGTACAAGTTGATCATTTGAAGAAATGCGGTGCTTCACTGTGTCTTGCGAAGCACCAAGTGTGCAACCCCGCAGCTAGGATCGGATACGCTACTCTCTACGAACGTACAAAGGGTCCAACAGAGCCAAGCACAAAAGCAATCACTCGAGTCTTTGAAAACGTATGAAGTCTGTTCGGACGGACAATCAACACATATCAACACTGTTTATCTCCGATGTAATTAAGCTTGGACTTCTGTTCGACACTTTAAATACTGGGTCTCCCGGGCAGGAGCTGCTCCCTGGCAGGAGCTTCAACTTGAAACATACTGGACCCTCCCTCTTCTGCGAGCGTCAAACCTGTGTGACTTTGTGATCCCGCGCAAATGTCAGTCAAAAGAGCAAACGGACGAAGTGGGTGGCAAGAAATGGGAAGACACATCTATTGCTCAAAGGGTGCAAGGCTTTTGGGGCGGGAAATGGCATTGTGGACGTCTGGCAGTTTGGCAGGTGGGGCCGTAGCTGCCGATCTGATTTCCCAGAACTCCCAAACATTCACCACCAAACGTATGTGAGGAGCTGCTGACCTGCTTGAGAGGAACCGGGGCAGAGAACGCTGACTTTGCAGGGGCAGCGTTCTTCCTCCACTGAGTTTGTGCCACCGTGGGTGCCTGCCGGTGGTAACCAAATGTGATCTCAGCCACTGGGCTAAACCCAAGACTATAGCGGACAAGTGAGAACAGGAGAAAGCAGGCGGCATCCAACAGAAAGTAACCAAACGAAAGGTGAACCAATAGCACGCAGCATGACATGGTTTATGTAAATTACACCATAAATATCATAACCTCCAACTCATTTGCGCTCCCACCTGCGATCCACCTCCAATGGATCATCTCCGTCGCTCCCTCTTTCGCTCCCTCTGTGGGTGTCAGGAGTGGCCGGAGCTCACGGAACGCCAACCATAAGGAGGCACTAAACCAGAAAAGCAACATTGAGACCTCCTACTAGTATCAGAAAAGGGCCAACACCAACACACGGTGTTTAGCTACAGCGAGAAGACTCCTGAGAAGATCATTTTCACCAAAGTTGTCTTTAAAATACATTAGGAGTATTCAGGTGGATGTAAGTTTCGCTGCAGCTTCGCACGTTTTCACGGCGTAGTTTTCAACATGAAGTTTGTGACAGAAGTTTCTGTAGGTATGATCAATTGCCGACTAGTTTGGTCTCTAAGTGTACATCATTGTACATCAGGTACTGTACATCATCTTGTGCTGCGTTACATACATCAACACCTCAAATAACTCAAAGCTTCAAAGGAAAATGAACCACATCATTGTACGTCGCAATCATGAGGAACGTCCCAACTTTGGGACCCACCCCAGCGCCAACCCTCGAGAAGCAAGTTCAACGCGAAGTGTGCAAAGCTTTGTACCCAGTTCCTCCCTATTGGGGCCCGCAACAGCAGGTAATTGACCATCCCGGCACCTCGCCCGGCTTGGGAATTGCAACATCCACCACCACCTGTCGGAGACAAATCATTGTGGGCGTGTGTCAAATCTGCAGAAACTCACCGTCTGATAAAAGTGCCCAAATTAAACACAGGTGGCCATTCTCATGTCCAACAAATCTCAATTGCAAATACAGGTCAGGATTGGGCAGGGATAAGCAGGTAAGCCATGCTCAAGTAAAGCATCTGAATGTGAAGGTCTGCATGATTCGCCATACCTGCTTTGCCCTTTCTGTCGGCGTGGCGTCAAGCATTGGACGACAACTCCATGTGGTTTGTAGCTGGATTTTCTCCAAACTCTCTACCTCCGGTGTGCATTTGGCGGATGATGATGATGTTGCCCCTTTTACACAAAAACTCTGCAACAAGCTCTCTTCGGGTAGATCTTGCCCCAAAGAGCCCTGTGGGAGAAGCGAGGTGGAGAAAGGCAAGAAGGGGCCAGGAAGGGAAAGCTTCTCAGTTCCATACAGCAAAGGAAAACACCTCATCGCTGCCGATGCCCTCGATGCGCCTCGTGTCCGTTGATGATATGAGATTGCTCTTGCCTTATAGCCACCTGCGAGCTGAGTCCAAGTTACCCCGGCTGCTGTGGAAGAAAAGTGCTTCCTCCCAAAGCAAGTGTTGTTCGTAGTTGCGAGTGGTTTACAGTAGAAGACTGGCAGTTAGAATATAGAATCAATGATTTAGCTATTTAATGACATCCCAACTTAGAGAAGCCTGGTAGAGGCACTGCATTTTCAATATCACAGTTAGAATGTGGCATGCAATACACCGTTGGCAACACCATAAAACAAACACATCTCAAGCAAACACCAAAAACATGCACTTACCACTAACAAGATTTAAACACAGACTGTGCAGTCAAAACGGTCTTTGCCCGCTTTCCTTCGCAGCTTACAATGAGCCAAGAGCGTAGCAAACACATCACTGACATCACTTTAGATATGCAATGCTGGAGCGATGCAAGCCTTCAAAGCTTATGGACTCCTACCCCAAGCAAAAGTGCAGTATATGTTCTTCACGTTTTGAGCTGGCCTGGGCTGCGGATGCGTCTGCAAAGGAGACGAAAGCCATGCCCTGTGCAAAGCTTGTACTGAAACCCAATCTCAGCTGAATGCTTAAATAGGTACAGCGTGGCAAAGCCACATCAGATGTTGGTTGGTGGAATGACCATGGAATTGCCCAACGCGACGAAGGCAATAAAAATCTGGGGCCCTGGGAAATCCCACGGTATCTGAGCATCGTCGCTTCTACTCACTCACTCGCATCAGAGTGCCTTGTGTCCGGGCCGCCCAGGGTAGCCAGGCAAATACACATCGGTCGTGATACCGAACTGTGCAAAGTGCTTGGCGACATCCTGGCGTACGAATGGATATGCAAGGCCATATCAGGTGTAGGCCAAATCATCGAGCTCCAACCTAAATAGTTCTTCATAGCTCCTCCCCACAACATAAGGAAGAATGAGCAAAGCATTACCAATTTTGTGGGCTTTGGAAGAAATTGGCGACCAGTGCGAATTCGTGACCTACTCCTTGTGCTTGAAGAGCCTTAAGATGACAACGCAAATTAAACCTAAGCCTATGCTACTGATGCTGGTTCATGCCCACTCAGGGGTTCACTCTTATTTGCACTGGATTTATACGTATTGTATAACGAGGGTCAGTAGATTTCCTCCAAGCGATTCCGAGCCCTAGCTTACCATGCAGCTGAACATGTCCTTGGCGCACAGCCGTATCTCTAATAGCATCTGACTAACGTAGTGCTTGTCTGCTTGTGCGAGCTAACCTGTCCTCTTCGTGCCAGCTTGCTGCAGCTTGAAACTACGTGACTATAGCTTTTTCAGGGGAAAGGTTGATGATGAGGAGAATGCCCCCAACATCCCTAAGCTTCCAAAAGCTCTTTTGGGTTCCCAACTCCCCCCAAATCTGCATATGCAGTTTCGGTATCGATTGGTACACAGTTGGCTGAACAGCTTGTTCAAAGCTGTTCCTTTTTTAATCAAAAAAAAACAGTCGATTTCTTTTGGCAGCTGAAGCGGCAGTCCCAGTTTCGGGCTGAATTGGTACAGTGGTAGTAAAGTAGCGATGCCCTTTGCTACTAGTAGCGATGCTCATTACTAGTAGCTTCTTGCTACTAGTAGTCATGCCAGGAGCTACTAGTAGCTTCTTGCCACTATAACAAATTGATGTTAGATAATTTTAGACAATCTAATTATGTCACAAGCAAAATGAGAGTTCCAATGCATGCAACCCCAGCCAAGCCTCTTGAGTGATATCGGGTGGAATCTTCGTAACAAAGAGCCTGGCCGAAAGCTTGCACTAAAACAAGCATAAACATGCTATTTAGCTGTATCCAGCAGTACGACAGTCACTGAACCTTCATGGTAGAACTTGAGAAAAGCATGGCCCCCTAGCAGTCGACAACACGTTTTGCTACAAGAGAAAAGCAATGGTTCCTGCCTGGTCTCTTCACCCGTCAAGTTGCTGAAAGTTGCATGTTGGCTCATGAGGACAAAGGCAGCTACTTTGTTGTGTAGACTGAGGGTTACACGTAGCAACCAAGCTACGATAAGTAACACTTGGATGAAACGGATTACTCCAAAATCAAACTATTCCATACTATTCCAAGCTCAAATCCTAAATCTTGATCACAACCCCACCATGAATCTCGTCTCTATTGCATTCGTTTAACTTTGCCGTTGCTAGCTACGAGTACGTCATTGCCAAACAAACTCATGGTAGGCGAGCAACAACTTGACGGCAATTGTCGACATAATATGTCGATGCTTTGCATGAAACAGCTCCAACGTGGCCACTGACAAATGTCGGGCCAACCACAACGAGCAAATATGTTATGTTTGGAGTTTACAGTATGCCCACATATATATATATATATATATCCATATATGTGATTGCTTGGTCCAAGCGCGCGATTTCTGCTGGGGCCCTTTTGAACTGCCATATCTGATGAGTCAGTAGAGGTCCATCGCCTCTACGCGGGTTCGACCTTGTTTCACCAGTACTCGTGGCAGCTGCACAGGGTCAAACGTCATCTACCCCTTTCCAAGGTTTGAGCCCAGTCAGTGTGTATGAGCTCGAGTCCAAAAAGCGCCATTAAACCTGCTGCATCCTACCGTAGTTCAGGGTGAATGCCCAAGTGTCCTATTAAGTTCCTAGGTTTCGAGATTCGAGATTCGCTTGTCCTCAGCAACACAAAGCGAACACATCATCTGGACCAGCAGTCTTACTAACTCCCGCTAAACCATGGCAGTCGTTCGGTACATTAGCCTTCCTCGTCGTGTGTCCATGTCTTCGCTGGTAGCAGACTGTAAGACCCTGTGCGTTTCATGAGCCCAAGGAGAGCATGATCTGGCAGACTGTGGCGTTCAGGATTCTTTGAACCTGGGAGCCGGTAGGAACCATCATACCACACCAGCACATTGGATCTTTTTAGTGGCGATAGAGCAATCGCAATAGTGCATGATACTGACACTCCGTGATACCTTCTGGCTGATGTAACACTTGTTGTAGGTCTCTGTCACCTCTGCTCGACCATTCTTGTAGGCCTTTTGAAGATGCTTGGGGCTTGGGGTCCATTGGGGCACCTCTTGCGCCTGTGATGCCCTTGTTGGGGTGATCCGTCCTAGTAGCGTCCTTGCTCCTAGTAGCGATGCCCTTTGTTCCTAGTAGCATTCTTGCTATATACTAGTAGTTATGCCAGGAGCTACTATGAGCTACTAATAGCTTCTGGTTACTAGTAGCGATGCCCTTTGTTTCTGCTAATAAACCCAATGACCTAGCCCCTCTCTCCTTACACATCTTTAGTATCAAATTTGTTGCCATGTCTACAAGCCCTCATTTGGTCATTGGTCTATGGTGATGTCTCGGAGCAAACCGCTTTGTGGTAAAGAAAGTGAAATCCTTCATGGAGGCTTCATGTGTCATCTCACTTGCTCTCTTTTTGAGGCCCACGCCATCTGTCATGAGCGGTGCTTCAAAGGATGAAAGAAATTGCTCAAACATGTTGAGTTCATACGATCAATCACTGCTTTGTCAAACTGAGGGCTCTACCCCGGTAGCATCAGGTAGAGTCAATGACGCGTTTTCATTTTTGTAGCCCCAACCTAGTGTAGCCTAGCCATACCTAGACACTCTCGGCCCCCAGGCAACATCCATGCGCCATCGTCCTGATCCACCACAGCAAGTCCGGGCACCTCATCGAAGCGAGTCACAGCTTTTCTTGTTCCTTCTAATCTCTCCCAATATAGTTTGCTATTAGGTTGGAGGCCATCGCTATTAGAAACAAACATAGCGGACAGGAAATACGGGCAACTATATACATATCCAGTGTCTGCTGGATGGCTTCCTCATCGATTGATCAACATCTCCTGGAGGAGGCCAGCTCCTTTGCATCATGAAGCCTTCGCATATCTTCACATGAAAGGTTGTAAAAGCCAAAAGAGAGCGTACTCAGTGTATGTGTTGACCATTTTGCCTTGTACTTGTAACAATTTTGAAATCTATCTGCATCTGTTGCATCTGTTTCCTTACCAAAGGTTCCCGGTTGAGAAACTTGGCTGAGGAGCTGAGAGATCAGGCCATCATTAAACACCTTGTTGTTACATGCAGCAAATCAAACAATATTACAACTCTTCAAACATGTGAAAGGAACATGCACAAAGCCTTTACAGCTTTTGTCCATCGAATCATGTTCAACATCCTGAGGCAAAGCAAATTTGGCACCCCTGGTCTGAGTATTGCTGAAAGGGCTGTCCCTATGAGTTCGATGACGGCTTGGGATTGTCACATGATAGGGCTCAACAAAAAGTTCCAAAGCATCAACTTGATGATGATGATGACGATGATGACTAACCCTTGCATATTTTGGAGGACATGCAAAAACACATTATATACATTACATATGTCCAAAATCAAATCGTACCATCATACAACCTAAAATAAAAACACAACTCTGTGTTTTGGATTTGTATGGATTTCTATTCACTCAGATTGAGCAAACTATAGCAACCCGGCTTTGTCAACCCAAACCAGTTCTCGACTTCTCCCTCGGCATCTGGGAAATTGGGGCTGGTTGAATGGCGCTGCTTGTAGGCCAATCAAATCGATGAAGCTCCTGCAGTGCAAGAAGGTAATCCGGCGTCTCATGGATACTGAAGCAAACCTCTTTGTTTCAGGACCTCCCCATGAACCCTGCTTTTCTGAGGTTCAGAGTTCATCAAAAGGAACCAGGCCCAACAAGTGCTTCTGATCACCACCATCTTTTCCACCATCATTTCTTCCCTTCCGTACCTCATCGGTGAGGTGACGCTGCTGGAGGTCTTGAGCAAAACGTAGGACGTCGGACTGGACTCCCGGCCTCACGGATGGGACAGTCTTTCTGTGGTCCTTGGATGCTTAAAAGAAAGTAGAAGGGGCTTAGACAGTCCTTACCTTTTTTTCCCTTTATTTTGTTTGGTCACTCTAATTTGAGATGAAACCAAAAGGGGGTCCTAACATCAGCAAAGGACATTGATCCTGTCAACATTCCACGATGCAGGGTCTAGCTGCTAGCTGTAGGCTGCTCAATATAGCGGAGGACAGCCTGGGAGAAACATGAGAGAAGATCCACACAGGACTTTTTTAACGGTGGTTTGGGGTTGCGCTTTGAGTTTGGCATGCTACAAGCTACAAAGGGTCCCGGAATCAATTTTGGACTTTTGCCGTTTCTTGTCTGTAAATTTTCTCGTTTTGGTTGCTGGTATGGCTGGAAATGCAGATTTCCTGGCGTGCTCGTTTTGTGAACCTTGGAGTGCACTTTGGGAAGCACGAAGCGCTGATCTTAACATCTGTATAGGTCTCATGGCAAAAGAGTGGTAGCCCTTAGCATCGACCGTTGTGGGTTGTGATGGTGTTATGTCACAATTCAACTGTTTTTTTAAAACTGATTTTGGCGGGCTGGCGCGGCGTGGCCGAGAAAGTCAGACGCACGGCCTCACCACTGACAGACGCGGTTGGACGCTGTGGCCGAACACCCACGAATGCCTGGTACAGCTTGGGCGGCTGAAGTCTGAAGTTGTTCTTATTTTGGATAGATTCAAAGAACTGTTCGATTACTGGAAGCGCGCTGGCTTGCAAAAGGTATCCTACGGTTTAACCTCTACATTTTAACCTCGGGTGGCTCGCAGAAGATATACTATATTGGAAGGGTCCCTTTCCTTCTCACAAATTTTACCTTGGCAGTGCTTTGTAAACCTCACTGATCTAAGAGTCCAAGTCTGTTGTCAAATTGCCAAAGCCTGGTGGCCCTTAGCATCCTTAATCAAAAGCGACATGACATTTGTCTTCATGCCATGGTGAGGAGCCTGTTGCCATGGTCGTGGGTCTTGTGGTTCTCGACTTTGTTTGTGGATCCTCGGGCTGTGTGCTGTGATTGTGTGTTGTGTGTTGTTGTTGTTGTTGTTGCTGCTGTTGTTGTTGTTGTTGTTGTTGTCGTGTGCTGTGGTTGTTGTTGTTGGTAGAGACAAAAACAGCTGCCCAACATAGTTCTCACATGTTGCAAGTCAGGGATTTCAAAGGGACACTGTTTGAAGCGATATTAGTAGCTGGACTTCTTGTCGTTGTGGTACTCAAGTCTTGGTTAGTCTCTTTCTTGTTTTTTGATGTTTTTGGGGGTGTTGTTCTGGAGGGGGGGGGTCAAAAAACAACAACGGGGCTGCAGATTTTGTTTCAACGGGGGGGTAGAGATAACAACATCTTTTGAGGGGGGGGTCCAAAAAAACAACAACGGGGCTGCAGTTTTTGTCTCTTGGATGTGGTAGAGGTTCTATGTTGTTGTTTACAGAGGCTTAGCTGACCGGACTACTACTACTACTACTGCTACTACGGCTACTACTGCTACTAATGCTACTGCTACTGCCACTACCACTACCACTACCACTACCACTACGACTACTACTACTACTACTACTACGACTACCACTACCACTACCACTACCACTACCACTACCACTACCACTACTACGACCACTACAACAACGACTACTACTAGTACTACCGTAGATGGACGAAATATTCAAACCCTTTCAACCACGTGGACCCCTTCTACCCCAAAGCTCAATGTTAGAGGTCTTGCAAGAATGTTTCGGCGAATGGACGAAACAAATCAAACCCTGGAAACACAAATTCAATCAAGTTATGTTCAACATTGACCTTTGGGGGTCAGGGGTTGGCGACAGCTATTGGTACATGGGTTTGAATATTTGGTCCATCTACTGTCTAAAGGTGTGACGTTTGCATATTTCTGGCTCGTAAGTATCAAGTCTAACATCTTCATCCATAGTACTCTGCGTTTTAATCTTCTGTGCTCAACAACACTTTCACATCGACACGTTGCGAGCGAGGA